AAGCCTCTGAAGGCAAAGCTGAGTGGTTCTACTTTACTTAATCAATAAATATCAAATCAAAAGAAGAAGGTTAAGGAAACATCTGAGAGCCATCCTAACCCCTCCTCAGGGATCATTAACCCCCTGCCTGGAGTTTCACATTACAACTCTTACTGTATGCCATTTGTTTGTTTGTATTTGCTGAGATGGAATTTCTTGCCATCTCTCAGGTTGGCTTCACACTCAGCCTCCATAGTGCTGAGATCACAGACGTATACTACCCTGGCACTCATATTGTGTATCTTTATTCGGATCATGCTCAACACTGGACTCCAGGAAGGAGGATGGCCATAATAACCCATCGATAACTACAGGGTGAGAAACTGTATCTCTTCTAGCCAGGGGAAGCATCAGTCACAAGGAATTAAGTCTCCAAAATTCTAGTTCAATATCCAATTAAAAAGAGACTTTAAAAAAGGGAACTTAAAGGTGCTATCTATTAGAAGCGTGTGACACCAGGCCTTTTGTGTGGGGATAACTCCTGGCATTAAATTGAACAAAGATCATAAGGCTGGTACATTTACTAGTTTATGGGAAAGTCAAACTGAGGAAGGTGAGACTTAAGGACTAGAGGGATGGCTCACGGGTTAGAGCAGGTTCTGCTCTTCCAGGGCACTTGGGTTCTATTTCCTGCACCCACACGATGTCCTGTAAGTGTCTCCAACTCTGGTTCCAGCAGACCAGATACCCTGTCCTGGCCTTCACAGGCACCAGACATGCAGGTGGTGCAGAGACATACACAAAAAAAAAAATCATCCATACACATAAAATAAAAATAAATAAATCTAAAAAGAAACGGGAAGGTGAAATTGTTGTTGAAAGGAATTATTTTGGGAGTACTATTGATTGATTGATTGATTGGTTAATAGAATCTTGAGTATCTTAGGCTGGCACTAAGCTTGCCATGTAGCCAAGACTGGCCCTGAACTTCTGATGCTCTTGTTTCTGGCTCCAGAGTGTTAGGGTTACAGCATGCACCACTATACCTATAATCCTAGCACTCGGGAAGCTGATGCAGGAGGATTGCCACCAGTTCCAGGTTAGTCTGGGGTATATAATGAACTCCATACAGTCCTGGGCTCCATAGCAAGATATTGGTCTCAAAAACAAACACACACAAAAATAGGAGATTCTGTGATTTAATGCATATCATCACTAAGCTCTCAACAGAAAAATAGACAGGGCAACAGAAAAAATGGGCAGGGATATGTCAGAGTCCCAGTACTGAATAAATCCAAGTATGGTGGTGCATGCCTGTAATCCCAGCACTTGGGAGATAGAGGCAGAAGAATCATGAGTTAAAGGACATCCTCAGCTACATAGTGAGTTCAAAACCAGCCTGAGCTACATGAAACCCTACCTCAAATAACTAAAACAAAATATTAAAAAATGGTTAGAATATTCTTTAGCATTTATTAAAAATGTATTTTACCTGAGATAGGGAAGGATATAAGGAACAGAAGAGCAAAACTAGAATTCTAGAAACAAATATCGGCATAGTGATGGCAGATGCACAAGATAACCTCAGTTAAAATAGGTTTTCAAACCAGATAGAAAAGGCAAGAGCAATGGCCTAGAATACTACAGAGCTGTCATTACACACAGCAAGTGAGCCTTAGAGAAATGACATGAAGGGCAGTTCATCTGTGGCTGCCACACCCACTGACCCTTTGTAGTGGACTAAATAAACGTGTGTGTGTGTGTGTGTGTGAGAGAGAGAGAGAGAGAGAGAGAGAGAGAGAGAGAGAGAGAGAGAGAGAGGAGAGAGAAGTGAAATGAGCCAAGTCTGGTTAGATGTGGTGGCTTATGCCTTTAAACTCAATACTTGGGAGGCTGAGGCAGGAGGATTTGCTAAGAATTGAAACCCAGACAAACTTACAAGAAACCAAATCAAACAAGCAAACAAAAAGTATCCAAAGTCATGTATATGTGGTTCCATGTTTATGATTTACTTGAGGTATGAAGATTGAGAGTAGGGTTGGGGACACAGCTGAGTTACAGAAGAGTGAGGATCCCACTTAGGATCCTAGAACTTATATAAAGCCAGACACATTAGCAAGAATTGTAATCCCAGTTTTCCTATATGGTTTAATGGAGCCATGGAGAGGAAAATCCCCAGAAAGAAGCCCAAGGACCAGTTTGGCATATGCAGAAATGAACAAGAGAGACCCTGTCTCAAACATGGTGGAAGACAAGGACCAATACCCAAGGTGGTCCTCTGATGGCTATACATGTGCTGTGGCATGCATGTATACACACACACACACACACACACACACACACACACACACATTTATAGACAGCTCAGTAGGTGGCATAGGTAGAATTTACTTGGAAAAGAGATAGGGATACCAAAAACAATACCAGAGAGCCTTGGGATGACAGTGCTCTGGTGCAGCTTTCTTATGGTGGGGGCTACACAAAGAGGACTGTCATGGTTTAGACCCCATGTGTCCTCCAAAGGACAGTGTGTGTGTGTGTCTGTGTGTGTGTGTGTGTGTGTGTGTATGTGTGTGTGTGTGTGTTGACTAGTTTATGGCAACGTGGCACAAGCTAAAGTCATCTGGGAAGAAAGAATCTTAATTGAGACTATACCTCCATAGTATTAGCCTTTAGGCAAATTTGTAGGGTATTTTTTTCCTAGACAGGTAGTTCTGGATGTATAAGAAAGCAGACTGAGGGAGTGGAGTCATGGGGAGCAAGCCAGTAAGCAGCATTCCTTCATGGCTTCTGCATCAGTTCCTACCTCCAGGTTCCTGCCCTGCTTGATTCCTGCCCTGACTTCCTTCAGTGTTGGAGTGTGACCAATCAGCTGTAAGACAAAATAAGCCCTTTCCTCTCCAAGTTGCTTTTGGTCATAGTGTTTTTGTCACAAGAAATAGAAACCCCAACTTAAGATAGTGTGTTGATGGCTGGGTCTGCCGTCTGGTGCTATTGGAAAGGTCATGAAACCCTTAAAAGGTGGGGCCTAGTAAGAGGTCTCTTCCTCATGGGATATGCCATTCAAGGGGACCTGGACCCCTCCTGCTCTTCTCCACATAAGGTGAGTGCCTTTGCTCTGTGGTGTGTTCCTGTGGTATGTGCTGAGTCTCAGCCCCATTTTTGTTTGTTTGGTTTTTGTTGTTGTTGTGAGAGACCTAGGCCCCAGAAAATCCCTGATCTAAAGTCCATACATGTAAGCATTTCGGACTGGATGTAAAGGTATTCTGGCACTTGGGACCCACAGAATACTGAGTGTTACAGCTCAGATGGAAAGGTATTCTGGCAATTGGGAGCCAAGAAATACCACAGGTCACAGAAGGTTTAGCAGCTTATAGCTCTGCTACAGGGAAAGGCTTCCCCAGTGTAACAACTCTGCTTCATTAGGGAAAGGCTTCCCAAGCGCCCTTTCCTGCCCTGCCCTGCCCTGCCCTAGACCCACCCTAGACCCACCCTACCCCTACTATGTTGTGCTGAGCCACATCCCGGGGAAGGAAGGTCTCACCCAAACCTCATTCAAGAGATTTATTGGGAAGGAAGAATCCAGGAGAGTGGCTGCCTCTGCCAGGGTGAAGAGTACAGGCAGATGGCCACAAGTTGAACAGACATGGGGTTTATATAGGGTTTCTTAGGGGCAGAGTTTTTCCAGGGAGATTTCTAGGGTAGGGATAGGTCAGATTTCAATCCCTGAGCTCATATTGGCTAGCTCAGGGATTGGTTGGTTTTCTGCTGAGGTTCAGGATAAGATTTGGCTCTAGTTTCAGGACCAAAGTGTGCTTCTTTCACTGGTCCTTTTTAGCCTTTTGGCTCTAATTTTAGGGCCAGGGTGTATTTCTTTCACTGGCTCTGATTCTAGGGACAAAGTGTGTTTCTTTTGGCTCTGCTCAGGGTATGTTTCTTTGGCGGGCCCTTTTCCCTTACACTACACAGACCCTGAATGGCTTGGCCCTGAGTCCCAACCCATGCCCTGGATATGGGACCCAAGCCAGGGAAAGAGACACTTTATCCCTAAATCTAGAGCCAGGGGAAAACACCCTAACTCCAAAACTAGCACCAAAAGAACACACTTTGCCCCTAGAATCAGAACCTATAAAAGAAATTCACCTAGGCCCTAAAATTGGAACCTAAAAGCCAAAAAGAACTGTAGAAAGAAACACAGTTTGGCCCTGGAATAGCAGCCATCTCTGCCCCTGACACAAAACCAGCCAATCCCTGAACTAGAAAACTGACCAATCCCAAGCCTGCAGTCTTGGAATTCCCCTGGGGCTGGGAATTCCCCTTACCCCATGGGGGCAGCCAATCACAAGCCAGATTTTATAAAACCCCTTCTGCTCTCTGTTCTGAGTCTGTCCTGCTCTGCTCCTGTAGCTGCTGTTGGCACCACTTAGGCCAGACAAAAATAAAGACTCTTTGGTTTTGCATTGGAGTTGGTCTAGTGGTGGTGATTCGGGTTCCAGACTTTGGGCATAACAGTTGTTGTTTTGATACAGGGTCTCAAATGAATCCTTTTTCCCATCCTCAGCTAAAAAAGCCCTTTATACATTTATGATAATCTGGTCAGAGATTTTTAGTTTTTACCTTTTTCAATTTTCAGACAATAAGTAGTGGATCTAGCAAGGAAGCCCTCTCTCACCAGGCAAGTGCTCAACCACTCATCTGCAACCCCAGGCCTGGATGTCTACTTTAATATGCCATTATCACTAACAATGGAAAAGAAAAGTAAATCAACCCCATCTCCAAAAATCAGACTCATTCCAGGCTTCTGCAGAGGACAAGAAGTTGGCTGTGGAGGTTTACACCTGCGGTTCCAGTGCTCAGGAAGCAAAGGCAGAAGGATCAGAAGTCCAATGACATCCTTAGCCACATATCAAGTTTGGGGCCAACATGGGCTACATGAGACCTGTCTCAATCGATCAATTATTCAATCAGTCAATGTCCATCGATCAGAAAAACAGAGCAAGAAAGTGCAGGATTGTCCTTACCACATCCAGTACAGCATGGACACAAAGGTCCAGATAGACAGTGGTAGCCTCAGCCCAGTTGTAAACTGGTCTGACATCCTTGTGATACTGATGTAAGAGCTGCCTGGTAAGACGATGCAGAGAGGAAGTCCTAGGATGAGGTGTTGCCATGCCTATGATACCTAGAAAAGAAAGTTGTTGCTATGAAGATGAAGATAATGAACATCATTAAGGAGCTGTAGACTGTCTGGGACATGGTGGCTCTCTGTGAGTTAGTCAGCTGACTCCAATCTGTGTAAATTCACAGCCAGCTGGTGGGCTCTCTGGCAGACACTTACTTAAAGCTGATAGCACAAGTACCCTGTGATGGCTAATCTTGGTTGTTGGTTTGAACTTTGTCTGGGGAATTGCTTCCACCAGATAGGCTTGTAAGCATGTCTGTGGGAGGTTGTCTTGACTATTAATTGATGCAGGAGGGTGCAGCCCATTGTGGGCAGTACCACCTGTGGGCAGTGGGGCCTAGACCATATAAGAAAGGTAACTGATTCAGAGCCTGGGAGCAAACCAGTAAGCAGTGTCTCTCCATGGCATCTGCTTCAGTTCCTGACATAAGTTCCTTGACTGTTCTTGGTAGTGGATTGTAACCTGTAAAATGAATAAGCTGCTTTTGGTCATGGTGTTTATCATAACAACAGGAAAACAAACTAGGACAAGCCATCAAAAGAGGTTGAACTGTAAAGATACATAAAGCAACTTCATCTTCAGGAATGCAAACTGTACCCAGAGTTCCATTTCATAGTGGCCATTCGGAAACGGAATTCTGTCTCTGCTCCTGTAATGTGCTCTGCTGGTGTGATGAAAAAAACTCGCCCACACCCTTAGCCCAAACTTAACCCCCATGTTGGTTTGTGTATGTGAGTGTGGGCAGGTGCATGTATCCACTCAGAGGACATTGGGTATGTCAATCTATCACTCTTTGACTTACTACCCTGAGATAAGATCTCTCATGGAGCATGGAGCTTGGCTAGCAACCAGCAAGCCCCTGTGATGCTCATGTCTTTGTCCTCTACAGTGCTGAAGTTATAGGTACATACACACCCGTGCCAAGCTTTTTTCATGGATGCTGGGGATTCAAACTCAGGTCCTCTTGCTTTTGAAACAAAACACTCTTACTCACTGAGCTACCTCACCAGGCCTGTATTTTATTTTTTCCTTTCTTTCTTTTGATTTCCCATGTGTAATGGCCAATCCATGGATCCCAAAGATCTGCATGGATTCCCACATAATGAAATTAATGAGAGTTCAATTCATGCTCTTTTGTTTCCATTGAAAAATCTATTTTCTCACAGCACCTCTGTCTTTGAATAAAATGTACTTGTCAGAAAATGAGATCTTTGCTTTGGGAGAATTCTCCCTGGTTTCAGGAAACAATCATTTCCTCTGATCCAGGAATCTTGATTTGTTAGAGGAGTCATGATTGTTGTCGAGGCAGGAGAAAGCAAGCAAGAGAAACAAACACCAGGGATTGGAAGTGACAGATTTTCAAGGGCTCTCTCTGAATTGCAGAAAGATATTTTGTTCACAAGCTTCATCAACCCTTGGGGGATTTGAAGCTTCGATAAGTCATTGGACTGAAGCAAATTGCACACCTCCTGACATGGTGCAGGATGAGAGCTGTCTGTGGTGTCCTGCCTGTGGACTGTCCCTATTTTGATGAGCTCCGGAGGGTCTGGGGGATCTAGTAGGAAACTGAATGAGATCGATTCTCCCTGTGCAACAATCCTGTTTGAGCCCATTTCTTTATGAATGAGGTCGTGTTACCTGCCACCACAAGCAGCAGTTTCTATGATTTATCAATGTCAGGGGGGTGGGGAACGAAATGGCTAATGATGATGCCAGACTTGTCATCCCAGGCTGGTAGCAGGCAGTGGAACATTTGCTTTCACTACCATCAAAACTGCAAACTTAATGAGCATTTAAACTCCCTGACTTGTTCACCCATGGAGAAGCTTAGGTTGGGATCATCTATTTGAGCATTCCGGAAGAAAGTGGGTGGGTGGCTTGCATGGGACATCGTTTTTTTTTTTTTAAGGTTTTTGTGAATTGTTATTGTCAAAACACACAGTGTGACTATCTAAGAACATTTCTCACTGTTGTACCCCAGGGAAGGGAAGTCAGAAATATCAAACCAGGCTGGTCCCATGATCTTCATGGAGAAGCTTAGGTTGGGATCATCTATTTGAGCATTCCGGAAGAAAGCGGGTGGGTGGCTTGCATGGGACATCTTTTTTTTTTTAAGGTTTTTGTGAATTGTTATTGTCAAAACACACGGTGTGACTATCTAAGAACATTTCTCACTGTTGTACCCCAGGGAGGGGAAGTCAGAAATATCAAACCAGGCTGGTCCCATGATCTCCCTACAAAGTTTGCCTTGGGCAGCAGCTTTTTTTAGCCTCTCTTGGGAA